GCAGAGCTGGATGAACACAGCAGGCCAAGCAGCATCAGAGGAGCAGGAAAGCTGACGTTTCGGGCCAGAAGGGTCTAGGCCGGAAACGTCAGCCTTCCTGCTCCTATGATGCTGCTTGGCCTGCTGTGTTCGTCCAGCTTTGCACCTTGATACTTAAATCAGTTGGGTTCTACCGAGGCCAAATTCGAATCCCTTGAAGTAGCCAGGTCAATCCCAGCACTGGCCAACGGAAAATACTTGTCTTTATTTTTCAGCGCTTATTGTCCTGCCTGTCTCCAGGGGTTGTTGACGTATGAGGTGAGAGGATGCCCTGTCACTGCAGCACACGGTGCCATCTGCTGGAGCTGCGTGGCAATGCTGCTCAGAATTTTGTGCAAAGATTTAGTCAAAGGGTTTGAAATGCAGATATATGTAATAGAATCACAGAATCCCTACAGCGCAGAAGCAGGCTATTCGGCCCATCAAATCCACGCCGACCCTCCAAACGGCATCCCACCCAGACCCAACCCGCTACTCTATCCCGGTAACCCTGCATTTCCCCATGGCTAACCCACCTAGCCTGCACATCCCTGGACACTATGGGCAATTTGCCCTAACCTACACATCTTTGGGCTGCGGGAGGAAACCCTCGGATACATGGAGACAATGTCCAAACGCCACACAGACAGTCCAAGGCTGGAATTGAACCCAGGTCCCTGGAGTTGTGAGGTAGCAGTGCTAACCACTGAACTACTATGTCACCTCATGAGAGCGTAGGGGAGGATATTCCCCATAGTACTTAAAGAATGAGCTGAGACAAGGACAGCATGGTGGCTCAGTGGTTAGCACTGCTGCCTCACAGCGTCACGGACCCGGTTCGATTCCAACCTCTGGATGACTCTGTGTGGAGTTTCCTCTGGGTCCTCTGGTTTCCTCCCACAGTCCAAAGATGTGCAGGTCAGGGTGGATTGGTCGTGTCCAGGGATATGCAGGCTGGGTAGATTAGCCATGGGAAATACAGGGTTTAAGTGGGGGTCTGGGTTGGACGCCATTTGGATGGTCGGTGTGGACTGGACGGGCCGAATTGCCTGCTTCCATACTGCAGGGTTTCTACAGTTCATTTCAGTGATTTTTTTTGATCAGGGCTGGATTTGTCCTCAGCCTGTCTCTCTCTCCAGCCAGCCGTTTTCACTGAAAGTAATGAAAACCACACCACTCCATTTCTTGAGCTTTCTTCGCACAGCAGGAGTCAGAACCCCTCCCAGATTCCAGCTTGTCTATCTCCCTTTGTTCACCTCCAATATGTGACCTGAGTTGGTTGTGTCCAGAACGGAAACTCTGTGAGACTTCTCAGCAGCATCTTTCTCTTCCGAGACTTTGTCTGAAAGGGAGAACATAAATTTGTGAAAGCCAAGTGCCACTGAAGCCTTTCATTCTGTCATCTGAATATCTAATATCTAAGAGAAACGTGAGAGGTGCAGTGGGCTAATGTAACCGGGCTAGTAATACAGATTTGCCAGCTGAATATCAGGGGGACCATGGGGATGAATCCCACCGCAGTGGAATTTAAATTCAAATAATAAATCTAGGATTTTAACCTAGTCTTTCTAATAGTCATGAAACTATTAAAAAAAAACCCATCTGGTTCACTAATGTTAAGTAAAAGCCGAAAGAACTGCGGATGCTGTAAGTAAGGAACAAGAACAGAAGTTGCTGGAAAAGCTCAGTGAGTCTGGCAGCATCTGTGAAGAAAAAAAAAATCTGAGTTAGCATTTCTGAGGAAGGGCCACCGGACCCGAAACGCTAACTCTGATTTTGTTTTTCTTCACAAATGCTGCCAGACCTAGTAAGCTTTTTCCAGCAACTTCTGTTTTTGTTCCTCGTTCACTAATGTTCTCTGGCTTTATCCGGTCTGGCCCAACATGTCAATGGGCTGACGAGTGGTAGACGGAGTTTAATTTGGATAAATGCGAGGTATTGTATTTTGGTAAAACAAACAAGGGCAGAACTTATCCAATTAATGGTAGAACCTGGGTAGTGTCGTAAAACAGAGAGATCTTGGAGGTCAGGTACATAATTCTTTGAAGCTTGCGTTACAGGTGGACAGGGTAGTTAAGGTGTTTAGCACGCTTGCCTTTGTTGCTCAAACCTTTGAGTATAAGAGTTGGGACGTCGAGTTGAGGTTGTACAGGATGTTGGTGAGGCCTCTTCTGGAATACTGTGTCCAATTCTGGTCGCCCTGTTATAGAAAGGATATCATTAAGCTGGAGAACGTTCAGGAAAGATTTACCTGAATGTTGCCGGCAATGGAGGGTTTGAGTTATAAAAATATACTGGAAAGGCTAGGACTTTTTTCACTGGAGCATAGGAGGTTGAGGGGCAACCTTATGGAGCTTTATAAAATCATGAGGGGCACTGGTAAGGTGAATGAGAAGAGTCTTTTCCTTAGGGTGGGGCAGTTCAAAATAGGGGCATATTTTGAATGTGAGAGGAGAAATATTTAAAAAAGGACATGGGGGCAACTTGTTTTTACACAGACAGTGGTTGTGTGTGGATTGAACTTCCTTTATGTGACTCCAGGCCCACATCACGGTGTTTCTCACAATTCATTCACTGGGTAAGGCCATCAGGAGATGGGTCAGTATATATCGCCCATCCCCAATTGCCCCTTGGAATTGAGTAACTTGCAAGGGCCATTTCAGATGGGAGTCAACCACACTGTTGTGGGTCTGGAGTCACATGTAGACCATAAGGACAGCAAATATTTCCGCTAAAGGGACATCAGTGAACCAGAAGAGCTTCTCGACAGTGAACATGGTTGTTATTAAACTCTTTAGTTCCGGACTTGTTAGTTGAATTCAAATTTCACCATCTGCTGTGGTGGGGTATGAGCGTTAGCCTGGGGTTACAGACGACTGGTCCAGTATCATTACCACTACTTAAATCCATCTTCCCAGATTCTGAACTGCACCCTCTTCCCGCACTCAGGTCAAGGGCAGTTAAGGATGGGCAACAAATGCTGGCCTGGCCAGCAGTGCCCACATCACGTGACAGAACAGAAAGAGAGCCCCAATTTTCTTGTGCTGCTCACCAGCTTATATATTTGTTAGTCTGGTGGGGGGAGTTGGAATCCACATCCCTTAGAACATGAGCCTGGGGGTTCTGGTAACAATCAGTGTCATTACCGCAAAACCACCCCCTCCCCAGGTCTGCACCTGATCTCTCGGGCACCCGATTACCCCCAACCCGTCACCTTTTGTCTCCAGTTTCCGAGGCCCATTACAGCAACACAGTTCCCACCCTAGTGAGCAAAGATGAGAGCTTTTGGTTGCAGTGGCTGTGTTTATGCAGTTGGTGCCTTTCCCTTTGCCCACTGCAGCTCAGGGGCTCTCACTACACACCTCTTGAAGACCTCTCGGCTGCTTCCTCCGCAATGACAGTCTGAAGTGGACATCTTGCGAGTCTCCGCTCAAACAGCCACACACCAAGATCTGTCCGTAGCGGAGAGTTTAGACATCTGCAAATAAAGAAGACTGGGATTTTTAAACCCCACGGCAAGCTTTTGCCCCCTCGGGCGAGTTTCAAGCCAGATTTCACCGAGGTCAGTCACGTTAACTAGGCGAGCAAACACCGTCTGCCCAGACGCAGCCCTGGGCACGTCTCCGGTGCGGACGGAGACGGCATCGGCGGGAAAACTTCCCCTCGCAGGCGGAAAAAGCGCCAGGTCGGAAAAGCAGCCCCGGCCCAGAGTGGGGGAGAAACAAATAAGAGCGGAAGGAGAAACTACCCTTGTCCCAAACCCTCAAATCTAACCTGTTCACACCATCAGAGCGAACGTTACCGTTAAATCGGTGCGTGTTTGGACAGACACACTCCAAATACAAATCCAATCCAGTTCCCAGTTCGGCACGAGGCAGAATGTTCTGTGAAGTATCCAGTTAATTTGAACCGTACTGTTGTATCTTATTATGGCTGGGATGCCTACCTTTCCTTCTGGTGGCACTTTAGGCAGGTGGCAGGGGACAGCAACAGGCATCACAATCTGAGCGTGCGCACGCTGGCAGACCGCTTCGGGTCGGGATTGGACGCAAGAATCCTGACCTGAAGGAGAAGAGAGGCAGATACAATTCAATGAATGTAAGAAACAGGAGCAGGAGTAGGCCATCTGGCCCGTCGAGCCTGCTCCGCCATTCAATAGGATCATGGCTGCTCTTTGGGTGAATGAACTTTCAACATTTCTACAAAGAGAGAAGTTTTTCTTCAAGACCAATGCGAGAACGCTAAATTCCAAACGATCACAGCAATATACACAGAAAAAAGGATTAGTGATTGGTGGCAACTGGATCCTGACTAGCTAAGACTGAGCCAAGTAAGAAAGCATACTTGGGTTCCCCCAAGTTTCCAGGTAATTCAAAACGGTGCAAGGCTAGAACGTGTTACTGCTGCTTGCAGAGAATGGGTCCCCTGTGTGTAAATAAATCTAGCACGCATAAACGAGCCATGTTTCAGGCTCGTGACTTGGTTGTTAGGGTCGCTAGTAACGTATTTGGATTTGTTTAGCAAGTGCTGTGCATTCACATCTCACAGCCAAAGGTTTGTTCCTGGTTGATGGGTACAAAGCAAACAAAAAAGCTTGACAACAAGTCCCCCACACTTTCGTGATCAGGAATGGATTTTTTTTTATTCACTAATGGGACGTGGGAATCGCTGGCTGGCAATCTTGCCTTTGAGAAGGTGGTGGTGAGCTGCCTTCTTGAACTTCTACAGTCCATGTGCTGTGGGTAGATCCACAATGCCCTTCGGGAGGGAACCCCCCTCAAAGCCTCAAAGCTGAGTTGAGACAAAAGAGCCCAGAACTTGATAGGCTGCTTGGCCTGCTGTGTTCATCCAGCCCTGCACCTTGTTGTCTCAGATTCTCCAGCATCTGCAGTTCCTACTATCACTTGATAGGATCTCCCCCTTCCCGCGTCCCTCTTCCGTCCTGGAAAGTCAGAATCTTTCGTGACGGGCCGAATATTTTCGCAACTGTTCCAGAGGAGCTGTGGCTGTTGTGACCTCAATGGGACACAGCAAATACATACAGTATTCTGGAGGTTTCCTGTTGCAGACTTAAAAAGGTGCCAGACCAGGGAAAGGGTATGGCCCAGAGTGAGTCTGCAAATAAGAACTGCCTGAATTAAATTGAAATATGTTTGAGAACATTTATCCTTCCTTCCAAGTGCCCCACAGGCTAGTCAAGCCACAGCTTGGTGTATCCAGATACTTACCACTGGCTTTAATTCCAGCCTTCATTCAGCTTTTCGTGTTGCAGTTTCCACCTACAGGGAATCATCCTACAGCACCCACTTCAAGACTCGAAACTGCTTCCCTGCAGCATCCGTACCTGTGTTGACCAGACAACCTTCAAAGGCGCTATCTCAATGCAAGCTGTCACCTCCTGGAAGCAAAAGTTGGATTTTACTTAAGACAGGCACAGCATACTGCAGAAGCTGGAAATCTGATTGCCAGAAGGAGAAAATGCTGGAAAAGCCCAGCAAGGCTGCCAATACCCAAGGAGCCATGCCAAGTTGCTGTCGAACTGGATTTCCCTGGAGAATCCAGTGCAGGGCAGGGATGCATTTTCCAGCATCATAGCACGGGATGAGCAGCTTCCATTTCCCAGAGGTGGTTCACTGCATAGGACATCACAGGGTGGCCATCCAGCCTACTCCGAGGAGCACTGCAGTCAATTGCTGCTCCCTGCCGTTGCTTCGGGAGCCCCCCCCCCACCCCAACCCTATGCCCTCCCCCCCACAATCCTAACCTCCACCCTCTCTCTGAAGCTGCTGTCAAGTCCATCTCCCACCAATGTTTCAGATACATTCTGGGGCCACCCAGCCAACTATCTGTGAACTCAACCAAGCACGCCATGGTCAGCTCTGCCCCTTCAGCTGGTTGCCCCTCAGATTTTATTACTTTTTTTGAGGTGGGGGGTGAGTGGAAAGAGGGCTAGCTGAGGTTGGATCTTTCCAACCTGGACAACCCAGGGAAGATCTCATGCCATTTCCAGTTTTTACTGAAACTAACTCACTTCCCCTTACTTAGGGCTATTTACGCAGCCCCTGCAAGAGTAGCCTCGATTCTTCTTGGAAATTTTCATCAGATGACATTTATTTCGAGCTACTACCAGAGTGATTCACTGGGAAGAAGTTAAGAATACGACCTGACGGTGACAAAGACTGAGTCTCCCCTCGCCATGTGTTCCTCTCTGCCGCCGCCATTTTCCCAGTCTGGCCTGCAGGCCCGCCCCTTCTCATTCCTATTGGTAGATGTCGGAGGCGTCCCGGTCCCCATTGGCTGCTGGAGGTGTCGTTCCGCGCTTTGCTGCAATGCGTGCTGGGACTTGTAGTTCCCATCTCTTCTGCCTAGTCCTGTTTGAGAGTTTGTGCTTCTCCTAGTCTTCCCCTTCCCACCAGTACCCTCCAAGACTCCTACCAAGGTCCTAGCACTGTCCTGATGATAAAACAGCTGAGAAATGTGCTGAACTGAGGTTCAAGCTGGCATGCTGAAGAAACATGCAGAATTTTGCCACTTCTGGAATACTGCATTCAATTCTGGAATCTGTACATCCTTGCTTACTGTGGTCTGCCTGTATTGCTCGTAAACAAAGCTTTTCACTGTACTTTGGTACACATGATAATTAATCAGTCAATTACAACATTTAAAAGGCATCTGGATGGGTACATGACTAGGAAGGGTTTAGAGGGATATGGGCCAAATGGAACTAGATTTATTCAGGATACCTGATCAGCATAGACAAGTTGGAATGAAGGGTCTGTTTCCATGTTTTATATCTCTGTGACACTATTTGGCCTTTTCGGAATACTGTGTTCAATTCTGGTCTCCGTGATACACAAAGAAACTTGAAACTGTGCAGAAAAGATTTACAAGGACGTTGCCAGGTTTGAGCTATAGGGAGAGGCTGAATAGGCTGGGGCTATTTTCCCTGGAACATTGGAGGCTGAGGGGTGACCTTACAGAGATTTATAAAATCATGAGAAGCACGGATAGGGTGAATAGCCTCAGTCTTTTTATCCAGGGTACGGGTGTTCAGACCTATAGTACGTTAAGATCTATGGTGCATTAGTTTAAGGTGAGATGTGAAAGGTTTAAAAGGGATCTAAGGGGCAACTTTTTCATGCAGAGCATGGTGTGTTGTATGGAATGAACTGCCAGAGGACTTGGTGGAAGCTGGTACAATTACAACATTCAAAAGGGATCTGTATGGGTAGATGAATAAGAAGGGTTTAGAGGGATAGGGGCTAAAAGCTGGCAAATGGGACTAGATTAATTTAGGATATCTGGTCAGCATGGACAAGTTGGATCGAAGAGTCTGTTGCCGTGCGTACAGCTCCGTTTTGCAGAGTGGAGGCTACATGTCCACAAACACAGAGCACAGCAACTACGTATTTCACACAATTTAATATTTTAAAATTACTTTATTAGTGTACCCGAGAGTGGCTGAACTGCACTTACACAGTACAGTGTTCAGTAGTGGGGCGGGAAGTGGAATCACTGAAATAAAAAAAGGTATGCGCTCTAGAAACACAACATTTGTGCGCAGTTAACATTTCAAGTCCAATCTGACGCTACCCAAATTCTCCCTGTCAGACTAGCACCGCCTGATCCGAGCATGCTAACATTACCCTTTCCCCCCCACTGCTCTTAGCATGCTCACGTTGCCCTTTCCCCCCTGCTCTGAGCATGCTCACGT